AGATTGTTTTACCTAGTCTATATCCTTGCAATATAAATTTTAGAATAATTTCATTTCTACAAAAAAAAAAGCTGGCTGAGATTTTGATAGGAATTTCATTAAACCTACAGATCAATTGGGGAGTTTTGTAATTTTCAGCATGCATATCCTGTACATTTTGTTAAGTGCATAACCAAACATTGTATTTTCTTTGGAATGATGATAAATAATATTGTGCTTTTAATTTTGGTTTCCACATCCTCATTGTTAGTATACAGAAATGTGATTAATTTTTGTACATTGATCTTGTATCTTATAATCTTACTGAACTTATTTATTAGTTCTAAGAGTTGCTTTGCAGATTCCTTGTAATTTTCTCTGTAGACAATCATGTCATCTGCAAACAGACTATGTTTTGCCTGCCTTTCCAATATTTATGCCTTTTATTTATTTTACTTTCCTTAGTGTAGTGACTATATTATTCAACTATTTTGAACAAGAGTAGTGAAAGTACCATCTTGCCTTGTTCTTGACTTTAGGGGAAAGCACTTAGTCTTTCACCATTAATTATGACATTATCTGTAGTTTTTTTCCCAGCTGTTATTTATCAAATTGAGGTAATAAACCTCTATTCCTAACTTGTGGAGTTTTTATCATAAAGGGTTGGATATCCACATGCAGAAAAATGAAGTTGGACCCTTATCTCACACCATATACAAAAATCAATTCAAAATGGATAAAAGACTTAAATGTAAGGTCTAAAACTATAAGACTGCTAAAAGAAAATATAGGGAAAGAACTTCTTGACATTGGTCTAGGCAATGACTTTTTGGATAAGATGCCAAAAGCACAGGTAACAAAAGCAAAAATAGACAGATGGGATTCCATCAAACTAAAAAGCTCTGCACAGCAAAAGAAACAATCAAAAGAATGAAGAGACCACCCCCAGCATGGTGGAAAACATTTGCACACCAAACATCTGATAAGGAGTTAATATCCAAAATATATTAGGAACTTCTATAACTCAACAGCAAAAATAAAATAATAATGATAATAATAATAACCCATTTTTTAATGGTCAAAGGGCCTGAATAGACCCAAAAGAAGACATAAAAATAGTCAATAGGTACATGAAAAGATGCTCAGCATCACTAATCATCAGGGAAATGCTAATCAAAACCACAATGAGATATCACCTCATACCTGTTAGAATGGGTATTATCAAAAAGACGCAAACAACAAGTGCTGGTAAGGATGTGGAGAAAAGGGAACCCTTGTGAACTACTGGTAGGAATGTAAATTGGTACAACCACTATGGAAAACAGTAAATAGGTTCCTGAAAAAATTAAAAATAGAACTACCAGATGACCCAGCAATCCCATTCCTGGGTATATATCCAAAGGAAATGAAGTCAGGATCTTGAAGAGATATCTGCACCCCCATTGTCATTACAGCATTATTCACGATAGCCAAGACATAGAAACAATCTAAATGTCCATCAATGGACAAATGGACTTTTAAAATGTACATATGTACAATGGAATATTATTCAGCCTTAAAAGAGAAGGAAATCCTGCCATTTGAAATAACATGGATGAACCTGAAGGACATTATGCTAAGTGAAATAAGCCAGAGAAAGACAAATAATGCATGATCTCAATTATATGTGGACTCTAAAAAAGTTGAACTCATAAAAACAAGATAAAATGGCCTTTACCGAGGGCTGGGTGTTAGGTAAAATGGGGAGATGTTTCCATTTCAGTTACATAATTTTCAGTTATATAAGATGAGTAAGTTCTGCATAGCTGATGTACAGCATGGAGACGATAGTGAATAATATCGTATTATATACTGGAAACTTGCTAAGTAGATTTTAAATTTCTCCCACACACACACATGCACAAAAATGTTAACTGTGAGGTGATAAATATGTTAATTAGCTTGATTATGGTATTCATTTCACAATGCTTCTGTATATCAAAACATCACATTGTATACCTTAAATGTATACAATTTTTATTGGTAATTATACCTCAACAAAGCTGGACAAAGGAAAAAAATAGAGAAAAAGTAGCCTCACACTTCTATTTCCCACTTATTCTGTCAGATTAGGAATGATTGCCCTTCTCTGACTCGATAGCACTTTATTCCTTTCTATTGAAATAAGATGGAAATTTCAGGAACCAGGAGACAGAATCTTCTCAGAATGGTTTTCACACTTTTGTTCTCTATCACATAAGCCCAAGTCTTCAAGAGAGGACATCCCCACAGCCTGCAGTTCTGGGCCTGAAATAAATGCTTCACAATCTGCTGAGCACTCATCTCTCACTGCTGCTTACTCAGTGACTGGAGGCTGGTGGTGATTTTTCACACAGCCTGAAACCAAGCCCTCATAAGGAATAATAAGTAATGGTCGAGCAAGGAGAAAGAAGTCTAACTCCTGTGCTACTTCCCCCAAGGTAAAAGTTGTGACCCCATGGTGGAATCCAATTATAACTTCCCCCTGCTTTATTTGGAAATGAAGGATTTTTTTCCCCTAATCTCCTTAAAAAGAAAATATCCCTAAACAAGGGGCCCTGAGAAAAGAATTTGTAGATTTAACTTATCCTGCCTCAGTGCAGCATAGAAATAGTGCAGTGACAGCCTCCCTTACCTTAAAGTAATGGGCATATATTTATTGGTGTCAGCTATTCCCCTGAAAAAGAAACATCATGATATGGCTGTTCATGGGGGCTCAGATCACATTTAGGATTTTCTTAAGTATCCCTTCTAATATAACCTCTCACCAGAGGAGTGTCAAACTTCCTGGCACAAGTAAGAATGAGGGGCAACAATAGAAAAGTGGACCTGCCATTAAGCCTGGAAACGGCACAGACCCAGCATCTTAGGCCCCAATATGCTTTCTATACATGGAAAAATGTACTTGAGTAAAAACAGTTGATCTGGTATAGTAGCCACCTTAATGAATGAATAGACCCAACTACCTAGATACATACTCAAAACCAAAAACCTCATATTATTAATGAGCATATGTTGAGCATAGTTTCGGTTACCTGTGCATAAAGTCATCTTCGGAGATTTAGCCCATAGGTAGTTTTAAGTCACTGTAAGTAAGCAGCAATGATATTGGAGATTTATTTCCCATCATGAGAAATATTTGTGGATTGCTTAGTGCAAAATAACAGACGGATAGAATGATATATCTATCTCTACTAGGCGTTTCAAAAGTGCAACACATCATCACATTCTCTAACTGAAGAAACAGACATTTGCCTGAAATTTGCAACAAAAATGCCATTTTTCTAAATTTGATAACAGTTTTTATCTTGGTACATGGGATAGGAGAATGCAGAGTAGCATAGAACCTTTATTTTCTATGCTGTATATTTCTGTGATTTTTGAATGTTTTAATAAAGACCATGTATCACTTTTATAACTAAGCAAGTATAATAAAAATCAATTAATAAATATTGTTCTACATTATCAATGCTGAGTCAACCCTTGTTTAAAAACAAGGAAGAGCATTTTAGCTAGAACTGCCATCGTCTAGTAGTTCGCCAAAGTGACCAACACAAAGGGAAAGAGGAAAGGCCCCACTGTATGATCTCTAGGCCTTTTAGAAAACATGGAGTAGTTCCTTTGGCCACATACATGCGAATCTACAAGCAAGGTGATATTGTAGACATCAAGGGAATGGGACCTGTTCAAAAAGGAATGCCCCAAATGTTCCCATGGCAAAACCGGAAGGGTCTACAGTGTTACTCAGCATGCAGCTGGCACTGTTGTAGACAAACAAGTTAAGGGCAAGATTTTTACCAAGAAAATTAATGTTCGTATTGAGCATATTATGCACTCTAAGAGCCGAGACAGCTTCCTAAAGTGGTTGAAAGAAGATAATCAGGAAAAGAAGGAAGCCAAAGAGAAAGGTACCTGGGTTCAACAGAAGCTCCAGTCTGTCCCACCCAGAGAAGCACACTTTGCGAACCAAGGAAAAGGAGCCTGAGCCACTGGAGCCCATTCCCTAGGAATTCAGGGCATGCTAGGTGTAAAGAAATAAAAGACCTCTGCACTGTTAAAAATATTTATCAAGTAGAAGTGTGGTATTCCCTCTCCCCAAAAAAATATTAAAAGAAAAAACAAGGGAAGAAGTTATTTTTTGAAAGGAAAACCAATTTCAATAAACTCAGTGCCTGTCCCTATCTGGACAACAAGGTGACTATGATAAGCTTGCTTCAAGTGATGCTTTCTTCTTACAAACTCCATTTGGTTTCTCATTTTATGACCCACTGCTTAATGAGCCACTTTAGTTGGCCTTTCCCCAACTAAACTCTTCCTACAAAATCTCAAAGTCATTTTGCTGGAGCAGGTGTTATTTTCTAAGCAGCCCTCACCAAAGGGTAGCATAATAATTAACAAGCTTTAGATTCGAAGAATTTAGGATCTCATTTCTGGCAAAGGATACATGTTTCACACAGGCAGTGATGTTTTTGAAATTTTCTATTTTGTAACAATATTTGGACAGCATAACAAAAGAACACATGCTTCTAAATATTTAGTTCTTTTTCTCTGAGAAGAGTCCTTAAGGGCTTAGAGATTATGGCACTCCTTGCAGCAAAATGAAGCTGTTTCCTGTAAAACTGGGAAGCTGTGTTTTCAGGTTCCTCTCTCATTTCAGATAGTTCACATGGTACCAGGTAGCTAAAGTCAGGTACACTATATATTCCAGACAAGGCAGATCAGTAATTCGGCCTGCATATTTAGTATTAAAACTGACTGCTAAATTTGCAGAGTGTTGGAGACTTGAAAAAGAATGGCATCTCACGATAGCAAATGCACACAACATGAGGTTTCAATGTTCTCCAGGTTTCGTTTGATTTGCAGAAGAGGTGTTCTGAGCTTTAGACATTTAACAAATAGATGTTTTAGAGGTAGTGCCTAAATATCCAGAAATACCCATAAAGCTTCTTGCTATGGTTTGCTCCACAATACTTCTCTCTAACATATATTATTTGATATTTTAGGAGTTCGTGATGATTGTCGTCTTTGGTTTGGAGTTCATCATTCGAATCTGGTCTGCGGGTTGCTGTTGTCGGTATAGAGGATGGCAAGGAAGACTGAGGTTTGCCCGAAAGCCCTTCTGTGTTATAGGTGAATATCAATGTCCAGACACCTGGATTTATGACACTGCGTCCTTTTCTTCTGTCTCCTATATTTTAACATGTAATGAATATTAAAAGTTAACAATCATGGATATTTACCATGGGCCAGGCACTCTTGTGTTTTGAAAGGGTTGACTTATGTAATCCTTACCACAGCACTGTGAGGTGATTGTTTTTACTATCCTCGTTTTACAAGTGAAGAAACTAAGGCCCAGAGAAACGAAATAAGTTACAAAAGTCACACAGGTAGCAGGCGGTGGAGCTAGGAGTTGAACCAGGTGGTCTGGCTCTAGACACCCACTTGTATCAGTGAAGTTATACTGAGCTATGCAGTTCTCCAATGTTGCCCTGAATTAGTGAAGCATTGATTTCAGTAAGTATAAAGCCCTCTTTTTGCTCTACAACGTGTGTATAGATACCACCCCTTTTATGCTCTTGTTTAACTGAAATGGTTAACAGTGTGTTAGTCCTAGTAATGCATATCAATTAGTGTTCCTCAAGAATGATTACAAGTATGTTTCACTGTATGCATTGGAAATATGAGTCTCCTGCCCTGCAGTACCCAAATAGTATCAAATCTCTGCACCAGCTACCTAGCTGCTACCATTTTACAGGAATTCCAGACACCTGGGTACCAGCTTGAAATCATACTTCTTAATGAAGATGCCATATAGCATTCTGGAGTTAAGAGCTGATGCCTTCCAGTAATATATTTTAAAGTATATCATAAAATTGAAAACCTTGTAAGTCATATCTTAGTGAAAAATTATTTTTTTAAATAGAGTAAGTTGCCTACATCATGGTCCTTTATCCCTAAATATTTCAATATGGATTTCCTGAAAGTAAGGATATTCTTTCATATAACCTCCAGTAAACTGAACATTGATACAATCATTTAATCTACTGGTGTATCCCAGGTTTGTCAATTGACCCAATAATGTCCTTTACAGCATTTTTTCCTCTCCAGTACATGATCCAGTCCAGGATCACATACTGCATTTGGTGGTCATGTCTCTTTAGTGTCTTAATCTAGAACAGTGCTAGACTTTCTTTGTCTCATCACAGTGACATTTTTTAAGAATATAGCTTCATGCTCCCACTTTTTAATAAATAGAATGCTCTTCCTTTTGGAAAAAAAGAAAAATAAAACCATATATATATATATATATATATATATATATATATATATATATATATATATATATATATATATATATGTTATTATTGTTGTTGTTATGGTGGTGATGGTTGTTACTTAACAGCTAAATTTGGTTTTCTTGCTCTTTTTTCCTACTCACTTCTTTCACAGCCATTCCAATCCAAATACTGAAAATTCTTGGTGAGGCTTACTTATTCCAAATTTTTCCAATCTCAACAGTGGATTTTTAATTTACAAGGTAGTTAGACGATGTTCTTCATCTATGACAGTTTTTCTATTCTGTTTAGGGGTCAGGAATTGGTTTCCTCCTTTACCCCTTTTCCCTGTGGCAGGGGCAGAGTGAATTTAGGAAGGAATTGGCGTGTCTGCCCATCATGGGCACTGTTAAGAAGAGTCTTTTATTCCATCCTTGTTGTGTAGGAAGAGCACTGTCCTGGGGATAGAAGAAGAGCTGGACTCCAGGCACACTCTCTGCCACTGACGTATTATCATAGAATAAACATTTCCAAAGAATCACCATTCATTCAATCAAACTTTAAAGAAATTTCACTATGTGTGAAGCACTAGAGTGACAATCGGGAAATTCTACATTAAATTTTGGCCTTTCATGGTGCATTCTCTTTGTCCAGTTGCCTCTCCTCTACAAGAATAGGCTTCTTTGTGAAAACCACTGTGCTAAAGTGTGGAGGAAAATAAGTAGTAACTTCTAGCCTTGTAGGCCCATCCAGCCCCAGAATATATTAGTGAAGACATCTGACTTTTCTCCCTGGAGATTGTTTTCTCTTTGAATTCTCTGCTCAAGCAACATCGCAAAGGACTGTAACTTGATGTGACACTACTGCCTAACAAGTACTTTCTGTCCTATAAGGAGCCCAAACAAAACAATTCACAAGGCAGATGGTTGGCCAAGAGTCACTCAGCTTCTACAGGATAAGGTTGGTTCATGGATGACTGCAGGAATGTTCCAGTCCAGACTTTAAAACCAATTAAAACTTGGTCTTGTTCCAGTTCCAGAGGCAATGCCAATGTATTTCTGGCCCCAAGCTGAAAAGAAAGCTTTTTCCCAGATGCCTGCTGCCTTTTGATAGCTGTTTTCAGCTATAGATACATCAGCACATCTTAGTTCTTTAATCTTTCTCTTCTTGTCTCAGATCCTTGCAGGTTCTAAAAATGATATGATATTTGTAATTTTAGACATGTTTGGACCTATCAATAGTGATAGTGGGGCATGGTTCAGGTGTAGTTGCAGTTTAGTTAACACTTTAGGCCTTTTCTGTATTTGAATATTTTACCTCTAGCAAATTAATTGCTTTGGAAGAAAATTTCATGGATAAATATATAATGAATCCCTATTAGAGCAAAGACAAGATCTGCACTTCCATTTAGGATAACTATGCTTTTTTCAATGTTTTGTTTAATGTACATATAACAGTTTGATCCATGGTCCAGCTGAATTGATGTAATAGTGAAATATGTTCAAATGTGGCTCTTCAGTCTGAGGTCAGTAAAATTTAACTTACACAGAGGAACCAAATGTCACCTGCCTGAAGGCAGCCAGCTATAACTGATGACAGAACCCTTTCTAGGTCTGTTTAATAGGTCCATGAAAATGGTTGATGTCACCAGTAAAGTGATAAAGTACAATGTAAAGTAAGCCTTGTAATTAATTCCCTTGGTCAACATAATTTACCATGGTGAAATGGAAAAAGGGAATAACGTCTCTCTCATTTGTTCATGATAACTGGTCTGAGTTTGGAAATGTTAGGACTTCTCAAGATTTCATGTATTTGTATTAGATTCATGTATTAGATTACTCTGAACATGGAAAATACACACTCAAATGTTCTTAGAAGTCTTGAGCAATCAAGAAGAGAATATAAAAAAGATTGTGATAGGTTGGTTGTGCCTTCAATATGGGAAAAGCTTTCCGTAAGCACACCAATGTTGTTCTTTTCATGTGAAAAGAAATTAAAACGACCTCGATGGGCAGCTAGTGAGCCTCCTATAGCATTGAGCCCTATAGACCAGCTGATAATATTTGGACAGAGTTTGATAGAGGGCCACAGGCTAATTCCCAAAGACTTTAGAAACTTCCCTTCCTAAACTACCCACCCTCTTGCCCCTGTACTCTAGCCAAAACCAAGAGCATTTCTAAAGCTTGTTGATTTAAAAAATTATAAAATCATTGTATACTTGTGTTGGGAAAACATTTTAAACAACTGTAACCTAAGAGAAGGGAAAAATCTATTTAATTTTTTTTTAATTAGGTGTGTTCTTTCATTACTATATTTACTTACCTCTGCTTGGTTTGGTTTGAAATTTGCTTTGAAAACTGATAAAATGTTTTCTTGAATTACAAAATTCTTCCTCATACCTGTGTTCAATTTACATCTGTCCCCTAAGACTCTGTTGAAATAACATTTCTACAGCTATGGGCAATAATCACTACCTTACCCATTTGGAGAGTCAAGTACATTTTGTTATGACTACCCAGGTTGCCCTTCATTTACCTGGGCTGGCTGCTTTATGATTTCTTTACATTCAGGCACAAATCCCTCACTCAATGACCTCCCTATTGAGATAACCTCAAAGACTGATTTTCTACTCATTCTTTTTTCAAGCTTTCATTAATGACCTACCTGAAAATTGCGGATAGTGCCAAAGGCTGGTACTTAGATCAGGATAATGAGACTGATGTGTCAGGAAGCCAACAAATTACTTCTAACAGTGGCTTTTTTTTTATTCCCTGGTGACTCTTTTTAAAGACAGATATAACAGGGCCATATTTTTCAGTCTTGCAGTGCATCTCAGGGAAGCAGAAAATACCAGCCTACTATTAATCTTGGATCTGTATTTGATGCTAAATATAAGTTTTTCTTAATGCTATTTTAACAGTTTTCCTTCAGTGTAATATATCCGCAAGAGGACAAAAGAGGCAAACCACAGCACAGATGTTTCCCTCATGAACTGAGCATGTATGCCTTTGACACGAGATAACAGTCACTCAGGAAGATGCCAACAAGTGTATTTTTCTATGAGAAAAAACTAACCAGCTTCTTACTTGGCTGAAACAAAATCGAAGCCTTTATTAAAATCAACCAGACAACCAAGACCACGCTAGTCTATCTGTGAATTCATCTCATTAAAGGGCAACTTAAGCTGTTAATAATGTGTTTGAACGTCAAATCAAAGACTCCCAGAACTGCCACTGGCTGCTCAGCTGAAGATCTGAGACGTTTTTCTCTTCTCTACCTTCTCCAGCTTTTGTTGTAAGAGACACTGAATTTTGTTCTAAGCCCTTGAATCCCATCATTGTCTATACCTGCTCATCTCTTCTCTCCTTTAGTAGAAATTCTATTCCCTCAAGTTATTTCCTATCAGTCATATGCTCTTCTGCTGCTTCTCTTTACATCTAAGTGTTCAAACTCCTTCAGCACATATAGATTCCTTCCACATGATTCATTACACCATCTGAGGACAATTAAACCCTGTTAGGTTCATTGATCATAAAATATTAAATCCATTTCAATCCCTTTAGTTAATAATAGCTGATATTTATTAAGACCTGCTATATGCTAGGTACTGCTCTAAGCACTCTATCAATATTATATGCCATTTTATAGATGAGGAAGTAAGATAGGGCTTTCGAAACTTGTCCGCAGTTAGAAAGATGGTAGGTAAAAGAACAAGGATTCACTACTTGTGATGTCACTCTGAAAAATATATCTCCCCGATAAGCTGTTTTTACTCACAACAGCACTTCTGACACCAAATGTGTGGGTTTTTATCACACCAACCAATTCTCCAACTCTCCAGACCCCAACAGAGTG